CGTGAAGCCGAGGACGCGCCGCGCGCGGATCATCACGGCGGCCTTCCTGGCGCCCGACCTCGTCTGCGTCGTTTACGAGGATGAGGCGATTTTGCTGGACTGTTCGCCAGCCGCCGGGGATTTATCGCGCCCGCCGGCGCCGGGCGCGGTCGAGGAGGTGGAGGGGCGCACGCTTTGGCGCTCGATCGGGGCGTATACGGGGCTCGCGGTCTGCCGTTTTAGCCGCTCGGTTGCCCTTTCCCTGCAGTCCTCCACGGTTGTGGTGTTTCCCGCCAACGCCGGGCGGCTGACTCTTTCGCCGTCCGGCGATCCAACGGCGGCCTCCCTGAGGCAGTCCTCCACGGCGAGCGCGACGCCGTTGATTTCGCTCGTCCCGACGTCGGATCCGGCGGGGAAGGGCGTCTCCCCGGCCGGCCATCCCCCCGGCGATGCGGGGGGCGATTCGCCGGCGGTGCTGCCCGAGCGCTGCCTGAAGGCCTTTGTGGGGGTGTACCGCGTCCATTGCATGGCCTGGCATTGCCTTTCGACCCACACCCTCCTTTGCCTGACCTGCGTGCCCCCTTCCCAGGACGGGATGTGCGTGATGCTTTACCTGCTGCATTCCCTGCCGACGGTGGCCCCCTTTTCGAACCTTTCGCCCTCGGACGAGGACGCCGGGGGCGATGGCGGGGGGGGCTTTCCCTTCATTTCCCCCCCAGGCCACGGGGCCGACGCGTTCAGGCAGCTCGTCCCGATGGGGGTCATCCCGTTCACGCCCCCGGGGGGGGGGTTTGCCGCCTCTCAACGGGCCAATCCAGCGCCTCGCGATTAACCCCCGGGCCCCGCGATCGAAAGGCCGCGGCTTCTGCCGCCTCTGAGGCCCCGCCGGGGGGGCTGGGGCACAGCGGCCTCGTTCCGAGCCTCTCCTACCGCGCCGGGGATGCCTCCCTGAGCGACTCCCTCGACTTCCTGCACGTCGAGGCCGACGGGACGGTGTGGACCGGCAGCTTCCGCGCCGGGGCCCACCGCCATTCGAGCCTGCCGGTCCAGCGGGGGCAGGGCCTGACCTGCGAGCGGCTTCTCGCCCCGCTCTTCGGGCTCTACGGCGGGCTCCGCCGGGTGGAGGTCCTGCCGGCGTGCAAATACCGCGCGCTGGAGATGGGGACGCCGACCCCGGCCTCGCGGCTGGCGATGGCCGGCTCCCGCCGCTATCGCTTCGTCGGGCATTTCGACCGCGGCGGCATCGTCGCCGCGGTGATGGTGGATTTGGCGGCCGCGACCTACCGCGTGGAGAGTTTTCTCGCGGCGGGGTCGCGCCCGGTGCTCTCGCTGTGCCCGCTTTCCCCCTCGCCCCAGCCGGGCGAGGGGCCGGACGGGCCGGACGGGCTCGTCGCCGCGCTTTTGGCGGATTCGGAGGGGCCGATCGACCCTGATTCCCCGCCCCGTGTGCGCGGATGTTGGGGGGTTTTAATCTTCTCGCAGCGCTGGACGTTCCGCGGATTTACCAGCGCCCTGCTCCTCGCGGCCCCCTTTTCATCGCCGCAGGCTTCGGGGCCGAGGCCGACGGCCTCCCAGGCCCCCCACGACGACGGCGGAGGGCTCACAACGGGAATTGCGGGCGTGGGTGGCATTCGGCGCCCATCCCCCGACAAAGCCGGGATGGCCTCGGCTTTGCAGGGGCCGCGCCGCGGCGATGAAACTTCATTTCCAACGCAGCCGCCGGCCGCGCGCAGTTCCTC